AAAAATAAGTTTATTATATTTATTTATTTTTTCTTTTGGGGGAACTGGGGATTGAACTCAGGCCCTTGTACTTGCCAGAGAAGTGCTTATTCCACTGAGACATCTCCCTATCCTTGAGAAAAATTTTAGACAAATTAAATTTGATCATGATTTGGAAGTACTAGGGCCAGAAGAGGTTTGGAGGGGCTCCATACTGATGTGTGGAGTGGGTCTCTCTGGGTGAGCTGTGGGTAGAAGTAGAGGAGTGGTTTTTAGGCGGCAGCTTGTGATAAGCCCTTATCAGGTTTGTAGAAGACCTGCTCTTGCAGTGCCTGGAGCGGAGTTGCTGCTGCTTGGGGGGAAGCCAGATGTTTGTTACAAAAACATAGATGCCTCGAGTGGGTTTTGGTTTATTAATGTACTAACTTTGTTTGCAAGTTTTATTTAAGTATTCAAACTTTAGAGACAGCCTCAGGTTTCCTGCCATTTACTTTAACCTACTGAACATTAGAAAGTAAAAAACAAAAACCAAGATCCGTGTCCAATATCATATTAAGTTAATCAAACACTGCCAATGTCTCTGTATTTTTTCTAGTATCATCCAAATACTTACATTATTTGTTTATTTTAATGACAGTGTTAATTTATCACCTTTTCCACTAACGTACCTCATAAGTGTACAGTGTTGTTCCCTTAGTCGTATACTTACCTTACCTGCACGCTGAGATTCTGAAGGGCCCCAAAATGTGCTCTCAGGAGTAGCCACACCAGCATGGCGCAGGACCCTGCTGGGAATAAGCCTCTTGGATTCCAAAACAATTTCCAGTACCATCAGAAGATATAAATTAGCTAATTTTAAAGCTGCATCATCATGGTGTTTTCTTTTTTGTGGCAATTTTGATTCTGCTAATTTAAATTTGATATGGAAACACATGTATCAATATGAAAATAAATTTAGAGTATGAGGTCTATTTATTAAACAAAATTGCCTTTTGAAATTTGTCTCACTTTCCACAAGTCTATCCAACGCAAGTGAGTGTGTGAAGAGGTGGTAACAACACCTAAATGAAGCTACGTGTGTAGAGCCTTCACCTCTCCACAGAGCTCTGAGACTCCCCACTGAACGCTCTCGTCGCGGGTGAGGAAGGGAGTCGGCCTGCGTCGGGCGCCCGCCCGGGGCCCTGAGGTCTGCAGGGAGTGGTGCTGCAGCGCAGGCTGCAGACCCGCGTCTGTGCTCCTGGCCATGAGGAAGTCTTCAGAGCCGAGTGCAGAACAGCTCGGAAAGGGGAGGACAGGGCTCAAAGAGGGAAGCGCGAGGCCGTGGGGATTTTGGAAGTTCATTTGGAGCCGGGGAGAAGTCTCAGTGGTCTAATTGCTTTCCTGGCAAGCACAAGGACCTGGGTTCAATTCCTTGCTGTGTGCTGTGCCAGCCCCTCACTGTGCAGTCCACCGAAACCCGGTGCAGCGAAGCTGCCTGCAATCCCAGGGCTGGCGAGGCTGAGACAGGAGGATTACTACTGTGTAGCGAGACTATACCAAATAAATAAAAAAGAAAAGAAAAAGTTTAAAAATAAGAAGCTCATTTGTGGGATCCGATGCAAGCCTCTTCTCTACCAAAATAGCGCTGGAACTTCGAGTATATTATAATTATTTTAGAACATATTTTTATTTGATACTTTGAAATGTATGTATCATTTAACACAGAGAATAAGTCATTTTCTGTTTGTTTCAGGGTTTCTGATCCCGGATGACCCTTTTGGGTCTTGTGAGAATAAGTACTGCGGCCTGGGAAGGCACTGTGTGACCAGCAGAGAGACCGGGCAGGCAGAGTGCGCCTGCGTGGGAGTTTGCAGCCAGCGCTACAAGCCAGTGTGTGGCTCCGACGGAGAGTTCTACGCAAACCACTGCCAGGTGCACAGAGCGGCCTGCCTGAAGAAACGGAGGATCACCATCGTCCACGACGCAGCCTGCTTCTTCAAAGGTAAAGGTGGAGCCCCCGCAGCACTGTGCTGCTGGCTTCCCACTCTACTCGTAACCTTAGCTTCCAGCCCTAGGACGGTTTTATGTGAGAGTATCTAACATCACAAAGGGAAAAAGTGAGGTCATACCAAGAAGCAGAAGGGTGTGAAATTTACATGGATACAATCCGGATCTTCAGCCATGAGAATAAAATCAGCCAAATTTAACCCATGATTTAATATAGCTGTGGGCATTACACTGTGTGGCTTCCCAGTCATGGTCTTCCTTAGGGGTGCAGTGTGGCCAATTCAGCCTCCAGGACGGGCCCACCCAGTGCCAGCACCAGTGTGGCACAGAGGGGCGGCTGCCCAGCCACGCTGAGACAACACGCCCTCTTCCTGACCAGACGTGCTAGTCTCCGTGCACACCGCGTAGCCAACTTACGTGGGATCTGCACTTGCCCACTGAAACAATTGGGAAGAACTCACCAAACTCAAGCAGTGAATTTGCGATGACATACTTAAGAAATGTGTAGTATTAAAATGCGCGTCAAATAACTTCTATGGGAAAGTTCTGAAGACATTTGATACATGATTTTCACAAACTTTATAAATAAATCATCAAATAGTTTTTAACATCCTTTATAAATCCATTGTTTATGCTGCCAATCATATATTCTCATTTTTAAATTTATTCATTATTTATTTATTTGATAAAGGATTTTGCTATGCAGTTCAGACTCTTAGTGATCCTTCCGTCTCAGCCTCCCCAGCTCTGGGTTTACAGACATGTGCCCACTATGAGTCCAGGCTGTATAGTGAGAAAGTGGCTTCATATTTGAAATATTGTGTGTTTGCTTATACTTCAGTGTATGACTGAAATGTGATGCTGTTATCCTACCTTTGCCCAGGTAGAGTGGTCCCTTGATTTGTGAACTTCCTTCTTTCTACAGTTGTGCTCACCAACTGAGGTGGACAATTCCAGTGACATTCAGTGGCTAGGTTCAGTGTTGGCCAGGAGGGAAATTTACTTCAGTTCTCATCCAGTTCAGTGTGTGACCCGAATCATGGAGAGAACTGATTTCGTGAAGTAAGGTAACACTTATTTGAGTGAACTGAAGACGAAAAATGTTTTTTTTCTGTATTGGAAAAATGGTATTTCCATGGTGATAGAAATGATACACAGGGCTTTTCAAATGATGTAAGATACAAAACATTACAATCAGCATGGCCATGAGATGCCCCCCAAAATTGTTGGAAAATTATGTTTATTTACCATAGGGAATTATGTAAAATTTAAGTACACATTTGGAGAAATTTTTATACTAGAAAATAAAGGTTTAATTTTTTTTTTCTGCGAATGCCTTCAGGGCAGGTTTGGCTGGCTTGAGTTGTGGGGATCGAACCACAGCAACCTGAGCCTACCTGCTTTGTTGAAACAGTCACTTAAAGAGCTGAGCTAAGGGGCAGGCCCCCAGGTTTAATTTTTATACTAGAAAATTTTATACTTTTTACCTAAAAGTAGCGAATTCTTTGGTTTCAAATTCAGTTCATTCTCCCTTTGTATCAAATATATTTTATTTATGTTTAAAGTATGCTCTATTTTCATTGCACTTTGATGCTCACAGAATATTTTTCTATAAGTTTTGATCTGAGATAGTACAATTAAAATTGTTCCACTAATGCATGATATATGGGCATTAAGTAAATAGTGTATACTCATGCAAACATTTTAACATAGAATCATATTCCCCAGCTAAGGATATGTTCACCTGATGCCCAGTAATCATTTATGTAGAAATAACATGACATTAAATACATGTGGGAAGAAAATCTGGCGCAGCAGGTATTGTGTACAGGTGGGTGCTCAGGCGCAGTGGTCACTCTGTCTCCCTGTCTCCTAACACACACACACACACACACACACACACGTACGTATCAGATGGAATAGATGAAAGATGAGACACATGATCTTCTTCATGGATTTCTTCCACAAAACAGTGGTGTAACAGCTTTTGTCCTTCAGGCATACACTAAGGGCAATTATTAGAGCTGCACATCTACATGTCTTCCCATTACACTAACATGAGCATTCTATTTTTTATATTATCTGGGTTATTCACCAAGGGTTAGACTATTTTCCAAGTCTCAGAAATTGTGGATTTTCTTTTTATTTGTTTTGCTTTTTTATGTAAAAACAGTCAACTCATGAAAATATGTTAGCTTTAAAGGAGCAAATAATGTCGGACAAAGTCAGCCACCTGTCTGATTGTTGTGGACTTGGCCACATGTGGGATGTGAAAGAGGATCTGGAAAAGCTGAATGCCCAACGTTATTGTCAGGCCTGAAATTAATTCTGTGACAGAGAATCGTTTTCTGTGAATTTTCAGGAATTTAAGTCACTTCCTTCAATGGACCAGTGAGAAGAAGCAAACCAAAGGATTAAATCCAGAAACTGCAAAGCCTTATAGTAATTAGATGTTGCTCCATAGAAAAGCAAAACAAATCAAAGAGAAAGCACTTTGCTACTTTGGAACTAATTAGAAGTGTTTGTGAAAACTTTAGATTGCAGGTCATCAACTGAGAACATATTAACCAAACCCAGGTTAGTCTTTTTGTTTTTCTTTTACTTTTTTGTTTCATTTTATTTTGCATGAGATATCTTATGATAGACAAAGCATAAAAATTTTTAATCAAAATTTTGCAGTAAAAGGTTTGTTGACCTCTGCTTTGAAAATTACTGATACCTCTTAACTCATTGTTTAAAACAGTAGCAGGCCTTTGCTATTCTGTAGATTTGACTATTGCTTTCTGTACTCTACAAATTTATGTGATGAAGTTGAGTGAAACTAAACACATGCACACATACATACACACACGCGTACGTGCAAGCGCACACACATACACACACAAATGAGTGAAATTAAAACAGGAAAACTGAAACAGGCCCATGGATATTATCAAACTCAGTATCCTGGGTTTGAAATAGCCTCCAGTTTTAAAAAGTGCCATTTGTTGGCAAAACTGGGTCAGAGTTCCTAGGGTCTCTGTAACATGCCTTATAAATGTTTATAAATTTACAATTATCTGGGGCCAAGGAGATAGCTCAGTGCAATAGGTGCCTGCTTGGCAAGAGCAAGGTCCTGAGTTTAATCTCTGGTACTACAAAAAAAAATTATACTTATCTCAAAATAATAATAAAAATGTAATACAAATGAAGAGTATTAGAAAATATTTTAGAAGTTTTAAACTTACTTTACTTAGTACTATCACTTTACTTTACTACTATCACTTACTTTACTTACTACTATCACTTTATTCATCACTTATTTGCACTGTATAGCAAGCCCCATTTGTCTCACATCTGTTATGCATTTTCCAGTAATTTGTAAAGTTATTAAAGAGAGTGTATGACTTAGGCACTGATTCATTCATTCAGGGTTAGAATCATGGAAAGACACATCTACGGCTCTATAGGAACATATTTTTGCATATAACCAGTATTGCATATTTTCCTCTGATTTGTACTAAAAATTGAAGTGAAATGCCTCTTAAGAATTTTCTATAATGATATATGACTTGTAGACCTATAGATTAAATAAATAATGTGGGCTGGGAATATCGCTCATTGGCATAAGGACCTGCCTGGCAAGTGCAAGGTCCCAAGTTCAATCCCCAGTACCACAAA